GAGCAGAACTGAAGGAGATAGAGACACAAAAAACCCTTCAAAAAAATCAATAAATCCAGGAGCTGGTTTTTCAAAAGGATCAACAAAATAGACATACCACTAGCCAGATTAATAAAAAAGAGAATAATCAAATAGATGCAATAAAAAACGATAAAGGGGATATCACCACAGATTCTACAGAAATACAAACTATCATCAGAGATTATTACAAACGACTCTATGCACATAAACTAGTAAACCTGGAAGAAATGGATAAATTCCTGGATACTTGCATCCTCCCACGCCTAAACCAGGAAGAAGTCAAAACCCTGAATAGACCAATAACAAGGGCTGAAGTTGAGGCAGCAATTAATAGCCTACCACCCAAAAGAAGCCCAAGTCCAGATGGGTTCAGAGCCAAATTCTACCAGAAATACAGAGAAGGGCTGGTACCATTCCTTCTGAAACTATTCCAAACAATCCAAAAAGAGGGGAATCCTTTCCAAATTATTTTATGAGACCAACATCATCCTGATACCAAAACCTGGCAGAGACTCAACAAGAAAAGAAAACTTCAGGCCAATATCCATGATGAACATAGATGCAAAAATCTTCAATAAAATACTGGCACACTGACTGCAACAGCACATCAAAAAGCGTATCCACCGTGATCAAGTAGGCTTCATCCCAGGGATGCAAGGCTGGTTCAACATACACAAGTCTATAAATGTAATTCACCACATAAACAAAATTGAACGAGCTAGAGGAGCAAGATCAAAAAAAGTCAAAAGCCACGTGATTATCTCAATAGATGCAGAGAAGGCCTTTGACAAAATTCAACAGCTCTTTATACTAAAAACACTGAATGAACTAGGTATTGATGGAATGTATCTCAAAATAATAAAAGCTATTTATAACAAACCCACAGCCAATATCATACTGAATGGGCAAAAACTGAAGCATTCCCTTTGAAATCTGGCACTAGACAAGGATGCCCTCTCTCACTACTCCTCTTCAATATAGTATTGGAAGTTCTAGCCAGAGCAATCAGGCAAGAAAAAGAAATAAAGCGTATTCAATTAGGAAAGGAGGAAGTCAAATTAGCTCTATTTGCAGATGACATGATTGTATATCTAGAAGACCCCATCGTCTCAGCCCCAAATCTCCTGAAACTGATAAGCAACTTCAGCAAAGTCTCAGGATACAAAATCAATGTGCAAAAATCACAAGCATTCCTATACACAAATAACAGACTTAAAGAGAGCCAAATCAAGAATGAAATGCCATTCACAATTGCTACAAAGAGAATAAAATACCTAGGAATACAACTAACAAATAATGTAAAGGACCTCTTCAAGGAGAACTACAAACCAGTGCTCAACAAAATCAGAGAGGACACAAACAGATGGAGAAACATTCCATGCTCATGGTTAGGAAAAATCAATGTCGTGAAAATGGCCATACTGCCCAAAGTAATTTACAGATTCAACACTATTCCCATCAAGCTACCAATGACCTTCTTCACAGAACTGGAAAAAACCACCTTAAACTTCAAATGGAACCAAAAGAGAGCCCACATAGCCAAGTCAATTCTAAGCAAAAAGAACAAAGCTGGAGGCATCACACTATCTGACTTCAAACTATGTTACAAGGCTACAGTAATCAAAACAGCATGGTACTGGTACCAAAACAGAGATATAGACCAATGGAACAGAACAGAGGCCTTGGAGGCAATGCCACACATCTACAACCGTCTGATCTTTGACAAACCTGACACAAACAAGAAATGGGAAAGGATTCCCTGTTTAATAAATGGTGTTGAGATAACTGGCTAGCCATGTGCAGAAAGCAGAAACTGGACCCCCTCTTCCTGACACCTTACACTAAAATTAACTCCAGATGGATTAAAGACCTAAACATAAGACCTAACACCATAAAAACCTTAGAAGAAAATCTAGGCGAAACCATTCAGGACACAGGCGTAGGCAAAGACTTCATGATCAAAACAGCAAAAGCATTGGCAACAAAAGCCAAAATAGACAAATGGGACCTAATCAAACTCCACAGCTTCTGCACAGCAAAAGAAAGTCATTAGAGTGAATTGGCAACCAACAGAATGAAAAAAAATTTTTGCAAACTACCCATCTGACAAAGGGCTGATATCCAGAATCTTCAAAGGACTAAAATAGATTTACAAAAAAAAAAAAAAAAAACCAAGCCCATTCAAAAGTGGGCAAAGGATATGAACAGACACTTTACAAAAGAAGACATATATGAGGTCAACAAACATGAAAAAATGCTCATCATCACTGGTCATGACAGAAATGCAAATCAAAACTACATTGAGATACCATCTCACGCCAGTTAGAATGGTGATCATTAAAAAATCTGGAGACAACAGATGCTGGAGAAGATATGGAGAAATAGGAACACTTTTACACTGTTGGTGGGAGTGTAAATTAATTCAACCATTGTGGAAGACAGTGTGGCGATTCCTCAAGGACCTAGAAACAGAAATTCCATTTGACCCAGCAATCCCATTACTGGGTATATATCCAAAGGATTATAAATTTTTCTGTTATAAGGATACATGCACACGAATGTTCATTGCAGCAGTGCTTACAATAGCAAAGACTTGGAACCAACCCAAATGCCCACTGATGACAGACCGGTCAGGGAAAATGTGGCACACATACACCATAGAATACTATGCAGCCATAAAAAACAAAGGACACGATGAACCTGGAAACCATCATTTTCAGCAAACTGACACAAGAACAAAAAATCAAACACCACATGTTCTCACTCATAGGCAGGTGTTGTATAATAACACATGGACATAGGGAAGGACTGTGGGAGGGAAATGGGGGAGGGACAGCAGGGGGTGAGGACTTGGGTAGGGGTCACATGGGGAGAAATGCCAGATATAGGTGATGGGGAGGAAGCCAGCAAACACCACTGCCGTGTGGACCTATGCAACAATCTTACATGTTCTTCACATGTACCCCAAACCCTAAAATGCAATAAGAAAAAACAAAAGGAAAAAAATGCTAAAAAGAAATACAAAGTGTTAACAGTTGTCAATGTCAGCCACTGTAAATATAGATATTGTGTTACTGTAGTCTGTGTTTTTTATCTATCTCAACTAAATTAACAGAGAAATCAAAAAACACTAGTGTTATACGCAAACAAGTCAACAATGGCAAAATAATAATGAGATACATAGAAGGTGACTGACTTTTAATGGTGAATACTGGATCCAAACACAAGTTTGAAAATTTTTATTTCAGAAAAAAACACGAAACTTAAGGGATGAATGAAAAGGACAAGATGAAACAGGGTAATAAGGACTATATTAAATAACAAAATCTACTTTGAACAAGGAAATCTTTCCAGTTACAGACTATTTAAAAATTTTTCACATATCCCATCTGTTGTTGTTAAAGAATATAAAAAGAATAAAATTTTAAAGGAAGTACAGTGAGTACTAAAAAAGCTAAGTAAAAAAGTAAAGAAAAAATGTAAATATGGGATCACATAATGAAATCACAAAGTTTGGCAGTATAGAACAAAACAGTGCATTATCCATTTTCTATCTAGTACTTTGATATCTGGTCCTAGTTGCATAACTGGTACAAATTTTAATGTTTTTTATGATAAACATTTATAATAAAAATATGGCATCCTACTTTTTCCACCAGTCTCATATTTGCAATTTTTCCTCTTTGGACTGGGTGATCTCTGAGCACCCTTTTAACTCTAAAATTATACTGGTAATTAGAACACTGCCTTCCATAGAGCTGTTTCAATGACTAGATAGACAAACAATAATTTTGCACTATTAAATAAATTAAGATTTCAAAGGATACTGGGTATGACAGGCACAGATAAATATTAAACGAGCTAAAATTTTGGTCATATAAAAATACATACATATCATTCGGAGATGTTTACTTGGGCAATAAATGTATCATTAACTCCTATTAAAGGATAAGGCACCTGTGGCTACTCAATAAATACTGATGTGAAGATGATTAAAGTAATATCGTCTTACATTACGTCGCCTGAGTCAGAATCAAATAAATCAATACATAAATACTTCTGGGAAAAATCAAAACCACGGAAGAATGTTATCTTCCCAACAATCTATTTTACAGAGACCCACAGTTTATAACACTTTTTATGCTGTGTGCATCAAGATCATCTATTACACGAAAAATGATTCCACCCCCTCTACTGGCAAAGCCCCAGCATCGCGAGTGAGTTGCCAGGATGATCTCCCTGCTTTCCCCTCTCCGTCTTCCTTAGAGCATCAGGTATCTGACCACTGACATCACCTGGGCACCTGACCAGCTGACCTGCGTTTCCAGGAGCCAGATCTGTGCCGTGGCGCCGGGTTCCCGGCCTGGGGAGCAGGATCTGTGCACGGAGCCCCTCGCAGGGCTGTGCATTCTGCAGTCCACGGACATTTACTATGTTTTGTTTTTATCCATCAGTTGCCAATTAGTTTCTAAGAAAGACATTCCCATTACAAAATAATAGCGAAATAAAAATAAACACCACTTCAAAAGGAGGCCAGCAGGGAAGCACCTGAGGGCTGTTTGAGTGATTGGCCGCCGCCCCTATTAGGAGCGACCACCACCACCGAGGAAAATCACCCCAACGAGCCCCAGGCCGACGCGCTCCTTCACAACAGCGAGCGTGGCCGGGAGGTGCCCTTCGGCCGCAGGAGACCCGGCCACACCAGAAACAGCTCCTCGCTGGTTTTGCCTGGATGGAGGCCAGAAGAACCCCGAGCAGGGCTTCGCCCGTGAGAAGGCCGCAGGCAGCGGCCGGGTCCCAAAGAGAACCGAAGAACCGAGGAAGCCAGCAAGGCCCTGAGAGGCCGCGCGCGCGAGTGGCCGGCGCCTTCCTCCGCGCCCCAGCCTCCCGGCGTCGCCATGGGAACCCGGGATTTGGCCTCTGGGCCTGACCGTCGCCTGAGGGAGAAGAGGGGCAGGCGGGAGGCCACAGATGCTTACCGCGACGCCGGAGCCGCGAGGTGACGCTCCTCTGCCGCCTCGGGTCGCGTTCGGCTGCGCGGGGTTCCGTCCCGGCACCCGTTCCGGCCGCCGCCCGCGAGCCCCGCGCCGCCTCCGGGCCGCTCCAGCAGCCCGTGCCCCTTCGCATCCGTGCGTGGAGATGTCAGGCTCCCGCTGCGGGAGGCGGGAGATTTAAACCGCACGGTCTGGCGCCCGCGTTCGCCCCCCTCGGGCGCCGGCCTGACCCCTCCGCGGGCCCGGCTCCGGACCGGTGCATCTCTCGGTCCGCCCTTGAATGAACTCGGGAACCCTCTCTATACCTCCTTTTCCATTTCCTCTTTACTTAATAAAGTGAAATGACAAACACCAAGCCGGTCAGAACATCAGGAGGAGGAGCTGCGTGTGAACCTTTTGAGGCGTGGGGAAGTGAAAGGCATTAGCCCAGGGCCCTCCCAGCCCCCGCGGCACCTGCCAGCCTTCCGGGGTCGCTCCTGAATCCTCCGGCGCTCCTCAGCTCAGCACCACTGTTCTCTACGCGGAAGGCGTTCGCGCGCTGTATTTAATTATCGTGTTAAAGGTTTAAAGAACTGTAAGTTAACAACCGTTCATAACCAGTCTCAAATGCACAAATCCATATCCATAATGTTTGTGATAAATGAATCTTCAGAAGTAAAAGGTTAAATCGGATCCTGAAAGTCTCAGAAAAAAAAAAAAAAAAGGCAAAACTATGTTTCTACTGGTGGGAGATAATTTAATAAACTCAAACTGCATTCTTTTTAAAGATGACTCCAAAACTTAAAACAACTATCCTAAAACAGCAGAATATTAATTATTGATAATTACAACTGTGGCACATAGGATAGCAAAGAATTAAAAAGTTACACTCGAGGTGATAACTAGGCTGTATGATCACAAAAGACAATGATGGGGTGAGATTCCAGAATATTAACAGTACAAAATACTCACCTTAACCAGGAAAGTATGATTTTAGAATAGGAAAAGTGGCAAGCTACAGAGGGTTAATTTGACTGAAAACATTAAATGTCTTTAGACTTTTACCTTGAAACATTTGGATTTCAAGGAATAGGCAAATACCTGAAATAATGTGCAAAATTTTGGTTGTCTTTTTTTTTTTTTTTAGGAAAGAGTCCACAGCTTTCCTCAGAAGGGTAAAAATTAGCGTTTGGCAAACATGGGTGATTGACGTATTTCCTTTGATGGCTTTGCTGACTCTTACTAAATGTGGCAATCTATTAAGGGGCATACTGCTGTCTGGCTGTAATGGTCTACCTGCCTGTCTTCCACATTAGATGCTAAGCTGCTTCAAAGCTACTCCACCCTTACGCTTTTCTGCAGCCTTGTCACCCACCTAGCACAGTGCCTAATACAAACTAGGTCCTGAAAGAATGTTTAGTCCATCAATGAATGAACTGAAAACAAAGATAGCTAATTAACAACTGAAGAATGCATTATAAAATATCTGAAAAGAACAGATTATCTTTCTCACCCAAGGAATAAGTAACTAACATGGCAAGTGAAATGACTTTCAAACGTTACTATGCCCCATGGTAAAGTTCTTGGGGTATTTTAGAAAATGTTTGCTCCAACAAGATGAAGTTTAAGTCAAGAGAACAGTAAACTAATATCTTCTTCAGCTCAATCTGAGGCCGAGTAAGGTCCTCCAAGGAACAGATCAAGAAGTCAGAATAGTGGCTATGGGCTGGGCCTATTGCTTTTACTCACTTAACTGGGGAAAATTACAGAAAGATACGATGTCTCCAAGCCATCAATGAAGTGTACCATTTACATATTATCACTTTTTCTTCACAAGTCACTAAGCAAAGATGGCACAGTGTAGGAATAGTATTAGCAAATAATGTAGAGCTAGCTACTGATGCTCCTCCTGGACAGGAATCAAGTCTCACTCATATTTCATAAAAGGCTGTGGAATGAATTAATCTTCCTTTAGCTGTTGGATTGATAAAATGTTTAAATGGCTTGCACTAGGACAAGTGCAGTAGCTCATTCTATAATCCCAGCACTTTGGGAGGCTGAGGTGGGTGGAGCACTTGAGGTCAGGAGTTTGAGAACAGCCCGGCCAATATGGTGAAAGCCTGTCTCTATTAAAATTCAAAAATTAGCCCCATGTGGTGGTGTGTGCCTGTAATCCCAGCTACTTAGGAGGCTGAGGCACGAGCATGGCTTGAACCCAGGAGGCGGAAGTTGCAGTGAGGCGAGATTGTGCCACCGCATTCCAGCCTGGCAACAACAGAGCAAGACTCTACTTGCACTAGTCCTTTAACAAAATGAGGCAGCTCAGTCATTACAATTTAGTTTTGCATAAAACCTCTTTAGAAAATGAAATAATTTAACACCATTAAAATAATTTTTAATTTCATTTAGAATTACATTTATTGAAAGATCATTTAACTATCGACACATAATACACTAAGAAAAAAAGGGTTTTCCTCCGTTGTAGACTTCTATAAGCTAACTAGACAAGAACATTAGATGACTTGGAATGTAGGGCTCCACAAATGGGATCCAAACCTAGAGTCTTAGTTTATTTAGAGTAATGGTCTTGGCTGACACGGTGGCTCATGCTTGTAATCCTGGCACTTTGGGAGGTGGATCACAAGATCAGTTCAAGACCAGCCTAGTCAACATGGCGAAACTCCATCTCTACTAAAAAAAAAGCAAAAAAATTAGCAGGGCATGGTGGCATGTGCCTGTAGTCCCAGCTACTGGGGAGGGTGAGGCAGAATTGTTTGAACCTGGGAGATGGAGGTTGCAGTGAGCCTAGATTGTGCCACTTAACACCACTGCACTCCAACCTGGGTGACAGAGCGAGACTCTGTTTCAAAAAAAAAAAAAAAGAGTAATGGTCTTCAATTTTATTTTTATGCAAACCTCTGGTTAATCTCCCAAATAAAACTTCAGTTGATATTAGAAAACATTAAAAATTATTCCACTGTTTTGTACTATTTTACTAAGGATTAGAGGTCTATTGAATCTGACATCATAGAAAAAGGTCTATTTCAAGGCATTCCAGTTTCTTTGTAGCCTGTTGGATTTTACCGAAGATGTCAGGAGTAGCACTGTAGGTCAGTGACAGTTGGGTTGTGTAGAGCTATTTTCCCAGATACCCACATCAGTAATTACTTAAATATTAAAAGCTAAACATACTGTCTCTTCCCTACTACATTTTCGTTTATTCAAGTAAAGCTAGACACATTATTAGATTTAGACACCATTCTCGAATTACAATTATTAAGATGATTTTAAATGTGAAATGTTACAGACATCGTTTTAAAAGTACTTCCTCCCCCCTGAAACAACTATTGAACTTAATCTGGTATTAAGACCCAGGCATGTTATTATACTTTCACTAACCATACATAGAATTGTTTGACATGTTTCTAAACTTTGTATCAGATTGTACCTAACAAGATAATTTATCTGTAGTCTTTTTTTTTTTTTTTTTTGAGACGTAGTCTCTCTGTCGCCAGGTGGTAGAGATCTCAGCTCACTTTATGGACTCGGCTCACTGCAACTTCCACCTCCCGGGTTCAAGTGATTCTCCTGCCTCAGCCTCCCGAGTGGCTGGATTACAGGCACGCTCCACCACACTCAGCTAATTTTTGTATTTTTAGTAGAGAAGGGGTTTCACCATGTTGGCCAAGATGGTCTCGATCTCTTGACCTCATGATCCGCCTGCCTTGGCTTCCCAAAGTGCTGGGATTACAGGCGTGAGCCACCGTGCCCGGCCTATCTGTAGACTTTATTACTCAGAGGTATGTTGCCCAGCTCCATTAATTGGCTACATACCTTCACACTAGATACTTAACCTGTCTGGATTGTGGCTTCCTTTAAACAACATGAATGACATAATTCAATTACATGAATAATAGGATAATTTCTAAAATTCATTTTTGCTCATATACAATTTCTACTAGAATATACTACAGAAATAGATCTTTAAAGTATACATATATTATTACAGTAATACATTTAGTAGTATACTAAAATTGAAATTAATTTTAAAGGCAAAAACATGCAAAGCTGAACACATTATGGTGATTTAGTACCCATGTCACTTAAATACATATAACCTTTCTGTTGGGTAAGTGAAGACACTTCGACACTCACTCTTTCCATTTATAAAAATATCATTCTTGTGCATAAGAATTGACAAAATCATACCAATTAAGAGCTTGAACTCTAAACTGGAATAAGTCCAAGTTCAAATCCACTGCCATTTCTTGCCTGCATGACTGTTCAAAACCTTAAATCTCTCTCACATATATTTTTCTCTCCTTTAAAATGCAAATTTAATTAGGTTTAATTCTATAAAACTAACCAGCCAAAAAAATTTATCTCCTAAATTATAATAAAGATATATTTGTGGCTGGGCATGGTGGCTCACACCTATAATCCCAGCATTTTGGGAGGCCGAGGTGGGCAGATCATTTGTGGTCAGGAGTTCAAGACCATCCTGACCAACACAGTGAAACCTCGTCTCTACTAAAAATACAAAAAAAAAAAAAAATCAGCTGGGCTTGGTGGTGCATGCCTGTAATCTCAGCTACTCAGGAGGCTGAGGCAGGAGAATCTGAACCCAGGAGACGGAGGTTGCAGTGAGCCGAGATCAACTCAAAGCACCCTCTGCTGGGTGCAAAAAAACCCCTCTCCCCAAAAAAAAAAAAAAAAAAAAAAAAAAAAAAGATATATTTTTTTCAGGCTGGATGCCGTGGCTCATGCCTGTAATCCTAGCACTTTGGGAGGCCAAGGTGGGATGACTGCTTGAGGCCAGGAGTTTGAGTCCAGCCTGGTCAACATAGCAAGACCCCATCTCCATAAAAATAAAATAATTTTTTTAAAATTAAAAAATACACTTTGGGAGGCCGAGGTGGGCAGATCACGAGGTCAAGGGATCAGACCATCCTGGCCAACCCCATCTCTACTAAAAATACAAAAATTAGCTAGGCGTGGTGGCATGCACCTATAGTCCCAGCTACTCGGGAGGCCAAGGTAGGAGAATTGCTTGCACCCAGGAGGCAGAGGTTGCAGTGAGCTGAGGTTGTGCCACTGCACTCCAGCCTGGCGCCTGGCGACAGAATGAGACTCTGTCTCAAAAAAAAAAAAAAAAAAAAAATTAAAAAAATAAGCTGGGTGTCGCAGCATGCACTTGTAGTCTCAGTGACTCAGGAAGGTGGGGCAGGAAGATCCCTTGAAGCCAGGAGTTGAGCCTGATGACAGAGCTAGACTGTGTCTTGTAAAAAGAGATATATTTGGTTCATATAACAAAATACTATTATTATGTGTGATACTTAATCTATGAGAGTCAAAAATGTGAACAATGAAGTGACTAAAATGTTCCTGCTGTTTTTACACCTGGCAGTTTCTGGCTAGTAAAATCTAGATTCTAATTAGTGGCTTTTTAAATAAAAAAGATACTAATTGAATATCCCTTGCAT